TTCGAAAGATCAAAACGTGACATTAACATTTGAAAATGATTTCGGGCATATGGGCACCGCGGCTGTTCTTGACGAAGCGCATTCTGGACGTCCAATTTTGGGCCACTTTTTCACGAATGTCACGAATAACACGAACAATGCTGGCCTCCAAGGCGTCAATTGTTGCTGGTTTATCAGCATAAACCAGTGACTTCACGTAGCCCCACAGGAAATAATCGAGAGATGTCAAATCGCACGACCTTGGAGACCAATTGACAGGTCCATTTCTCGAAATCAACTTATCGCCAAATTTTGATTTCAATAAGCCGATGGTTGCGTTCGCCGTATGGCACGTAGCGCCATCCTGTTGAAGCCACATCTCCTCCGGATCAATGTCATCCATATTTTCAAACAAAAAAACATTGATCATGGTGCGGTAACGATCTCCATTGACCATAACGCGAGCTCCGGCCTCATTTTTGAAGAAATAAGGTCCGATGATGCCACCAGCGTGAAAACCGCACCAAACGGTGCATTTTTCTGGATGTAATGGAGTCTGTAGGGTCTCTTGTGGATTAGTCTCACTCCATATGCAGCAATTTTGCTTATTAACAAACCCAAAATGCGCCTCATCGCTGAACACAAGTTTGCGATAAAACAACGGGTCAGTTGCCAACTGCTCTAGAGCCCAATCGGGGAAAGAACCACGCATATAATGGTCTCTTGGCTTCAATACCTGCACCAGCTGGATCTTATACGGGTGTAAGTCGAGATCCTTGCGCAAAATTTTTCACGTAGTGGACGGACAGAGCCCCAATTCCTGCGACCGACGACGAATCGATAAATTTTGATCTTCCTCCACACTTTCGTTTACAGCGGCGATATTCTCTTCAGTACGCGCATTCCTTCAACGTGCTGGTATTATTGCATACTTTAGAGAGTATGTGGTACGAAATCTATCCACTGTTCGACGAATGGCTTGTTCAGATGGACGATTATGTACGCCATACAAATGACGAAGTCATCTATAAGTTGCGCGAATCGACGACTGATTTTTAAAGTAAACACAAAAAACCCGCATTTCACTCACTTATATAAGTAATACTTTGTTTGTGTATTCTTTGCCATTAATTGTTATTTAACTTTTTGAAGCTATGTTATATGGAGGATTAATTAAGTTGTTTGTTTTTGTACAGACAGTAACAGTTTCTTTCCTTGAAATATAAGCGTTTAATTTCAGTATTTTAATAATAAATATTGGCTTTCCGATGACTAGTATAAATATACTTATCATTTACATCCAGACCAATCGACATATTCATTTTAAATGAGCGAATATGAAGACAATGGCTATTATAGCAATACGGTATATTATACGGTATAATATTATAAGGTATCTGTGACTCAAATAACTTCCCCGATCTCTTGCCAGCTATCTAGCTAATGCGTGCTACATGCAAATTTCGATCCACTCATTTGCATGGCCTACCCGCAGCTTTCGATGGTACAGCCAGCAACTAATAAAGGCTTATAAACAATAATAACCTTTAATACAATAGGAACAAAATTGAAACTGCAATAATATATCTAATAACATTTACTGGCGATATTTTACAGGTTCATGCAATTGTAAGCTTTGTAACCATTCAGATAGATACGTAAGTGGTAAACGTTGCTGTATAAGTTTAACAAGACGTTAGGTTGCGGGTACTTTGCGTAATAAATAGTTGGTAATTTAGCAACATGTCGATGGTGATAGCGCAGTGAATGTTCCTGCTATGCTTTATTCATGTATAAGGTAGTAGAAATAAATTATCATCGGTATTCAAAAACTTTTTCAAACAATCTAGGAGAAATCTTTTGTAGCAATAAAGTTAGAGTAGAATCTTAAAAAAATCAAATTCTGAAAAATATATGTATATTTAATTCAGCTTTAAGATTAAAGTATAAATATATAGTAATAGTTGTTTCAGCACGAACTGTGTTATTAGACTTAACCCGCATTTGTTGTTGCAGTTGAGTTAGCAACTGTAGCTTGAATCAAAAGTTTTAAGTAGAAACCAGCCTCGTGAAGTTGTTATCTAGTTATAAATTGTTAACCTTAAAATCGATACAAACTGGAAAGTGTATGAAAAAGATTGTAATTGCTTAGACTGACCAAGTGGATGTTAGTATATTAAAATCAAATAATTGTTTTGAGGATTATTCCGAAAAATTTTAGTTCGATTTCAATGAATAATTGCGGTAATCTTAGATTTCATTTCGTCTTGTTTTTTGTATGCAGAAGACTTATCTTACACAAGGCCTAGGCCTTGTGTAATATTCGTCGCAAAAAATAGAAATGATCTCTAATCATGAGGATGTTACTTTGATTGAAAACAAAACCTTTTATAAAAGAATATTAATGTGAACATATTCAAGTGGTGAGGCTGTAAAAATATATTTAATTTGCATTAATAAGCAATTCCGATGCTTTGTGTACGATTTTGAAGTTATTATTTATTAGAGAAAGTAAATATATAATATTTACAGTTAATCAACATGGTTGATAATATTAACATGTAGCCGGGGGACGTGTCTGAATCATTATGAAATTTGTAAAGGTTTTGTGAAATGAAATGTACTGGTTGATTGAATATTATGTGTAGGAATGGAAATTACAGCTAATTTGAGTAATATCTTAGATTTAATTTGGTCAAATCTAAATCCATAATATGTACAAATATTCTCCGTACTATGGTGTTCATGAGAACAACTAGCTCCATTGTCACAAAAAGATATAATAAATAAAAATTACTTTAATTCAAAGGAATTCCATAGTATCGTAAGTGTAGAGGAATTAGAAAATGTTAAGGCAACTTATATTTAGAGTAATATGTTACTTTAATAAATGACATAGTTCTAAACTATGAAATTTATGGTTGAGCTATGAATCTGTATAAAAACATTAAATGTTATACTTATTTTTAGTATCCATCCTTAATTAGTAACCTAATAAATAATTAACTCAGTGAGTTCCCTTATTAACTAAAGTTGTTTGGCTGAAAAAGTTTTTTTATATCCTGTCAGATTGAATCATGAAGTATTTTTCTCTCAATATTTAGTTTTTTTTGGGTTTGAATATTTTATTTCGTGAATTATAATATATTATAATCAAACACTTCAGGAGGTAGAGTAAATGGTTTTACATGAATAACATCATTACATGAATTACGTTACTGCAAGAGACGTTCCTTTATGAAGTTCTCTACCGATGAATACTAATAACTAAGCCTGGTACCCCATGTGTTCTATATTAGATTTTATTGTGGCTCAAGTTATATACTTAAAAAATATTAATAAAATATATTTTATCCACATCATATTATATATAATTTCATTTGAAATTTATCTTTTTGTACGAATCATTTCTTTTATATTTATTTTCACATAAGACAGATTTTCAATGATGTTGACTAAATATTTATAGGAAATATTATAATGATAGTTTCCAAGATATTGCTGTTCAGCGCCCATTAGTAAGTTATAGTATGATTTTTTCGATATTCCTCTTAAATTCCTTGCCATAGAGCCCATAGTATGACATAGAGTAAAGGTAAATAGCAAAAGGCAATATTTTCTTTTTAATGCTTCATTTAATGATGTATAATTAATAAATAGTCATCATGCGACGAAGCGTACTCTGTGTGAGACCGCAGAGACCAAAGAGTGCAAAATGTTCACACTCGACCGTAACGATCCATTCAGAAGGTTTAAGTTTTATTGTGTGGTTGATACTATTATATGCTGTCTGATTTATTTTAACTATTTGTTAACTCTTTATATTGTTATATGTATTATTCTAACATCGTGGTTGATAGCTGGTGATTATTTCAACATATTTACATTTTAAAGATTTAAGAATATTTTTGCAGAATTGTCACAATCTACGCACACATTAGAGTTTCAATTGTTCCAGCAAAATATTTCAATGTAATGAATACATATTTGCAATTAAGACCCATTCGCACGAAGATAGTCAAAGATTTTGTGCAATATTATTACTAATTCAATTTTTTGTTGTTACCAGATTGAAGTTTGTGTGTTGGTGGCAACATACATAGTTCACTAACGGATCAATAAAGTTTCCTTATTTGAAAATAAAATTATTTACTGTAGTTTTGGGTTTGTTGAAAGAGCACCAGCTCTATTCCAGAATGACGTAAAACAATTTTTTTGCTATGATTAAACGATTAAGTAAGGCCCGAGGGCCAGTTAATAGGAAGATGACAATTAGTGCGTCTTAGGTTTTAAAAATTTCGAAATATCTTTATATAAATTTTAACAAGATTAATCATAATTTTTAGGTAGCGGTAAGAAAAAAAATCGATGTTTTTCTTACACATGGATTAATCGACAAAACAAATTACATTTGTGTTAAATGTGAGCATTGCCTAGCGGTACTTTTTATTCACACAGAAAATAAAAACGACAAGGTAAAACTTTGATCTATGGGAAGTAGTGATTAAATTCTATGAAAAACATGATTTTTCTTTTCAATTCATTCACCATTTTATTATTCAAAGATCACTATCCAATTTTCGTCTAATTTTCATCTTTATTAAGTGTAATCTAGTAAAGGTGTTCATTTTACTTTATTTCTTATATTGATTGACGACTATTTGATTGACGGATACTTATTTCTAAAAGTTTAATAAAGGCAACTATTCGTACTTTATAAAATGAAGAAAGAGGCGTAGCCATCATAAGGAAAACGTCAGGAAATAAAGGGCACTTAGTTTGAGGTCATCTTCTTCTTCTTTCTAAAAGTCGTTCCCTGAAAGGTTCTAGGAGCTTTTCTCACTATATCTTTCCACTTCCTTCAGTTAGTCACTTCTCATAACACCACTTTTACGGGAAGACCCTTTGGAGCCGTGATTTGGTCATACCAGCTGCCTGGTCTTCTGACACATTGCCTTTCGTAATTTGCCCTTGACTACAATACTACTTCATTGCTAAAATTCTATCTCAATGAGTTCCAGATGACTCTCCCAGATCAGAGTAATTTAGTAAGATGGGTTAAAAGTACCAAAAAAACTTGCTATATCTGTGGAAAGGCAGTTGGAACTGCTAAGCATCTGCTGGTAGGATGTAAGGTACTCCTGGACAGCGGTCAATACTCGCGTCGTCACAATAGGGTTCTAGAAGTCATACGTGAGGTGGTTAGTCTTTCGGTAGCCAGAGCGAAAAAGGAAATAACCACAAACGAACGATCAGTAGGTTTTGTGAGAGAAGGCACTAGGGCTACAAAATCAAACGTCAAGCCTTACTCCATCCTTAAAGCGGCGTCGGATTGGGCTATAATGATGGACACGTATGAAAAACAATATAAAATCCCCGAGGATATTTGTGCGTCGGCCTTCAGACCGGATATATTTTAGTTTTCGCGAATTTTAAAGCACGTAGTGATGATAGAGCTTACGAAACTTGGTCCCTTGGGAAACCAACATCCCCAAAGACCATACCATCAAGGTCAACAAATATTACGAGCTCACAAACGAACTCACTCGAAATAGGTTCGTAGTAGATTTGTACGCGGTAGAGGTGGGACCGAGAGGTATAAAGCGAAATCTCTCTACAACGTACTAAAGGACTTGGGCTTGTCCAGAACTCACATTAATGCACTCTTGGAACGTACGTCGAAGGCAGCCCAAGTAGGTTCTTTTCAAATTTGGTTAGGTAGGGAGAGGAGCTTGGACAGTGGAGGTGAGCGTATAACGCGCGTTAGTTAAGGGGCCCCTTAAACCTACACTTGGGTCGCAAGTCCCAGGCACTGTTGAAGCTCCTCTCCCTGCAACGCGATGGACCCGGCACCCGCACGGTGAATCCATGGAATGCTGAGAAGTTTCGTCTCATAAACTTCCCTAGATTATCTGACTCGCGGCAAGCGATGTAACCAAAGTATACAACAATACTCCGGTAAGATAACATTGCGGTTATATATGTACTTTTTACGTAACGTATTTGACTATTGACAGTCTTTAACCTTTTTCATATTATGTAAAAGTATGTATCTTCAAATAATGAGTTTTACTTTAAAATTGGTCTGAAGTTTTATTAATTGTACCACCGTGGCATGATGATATTGAATTAGCATGATTGCATCGGTTATTAGCATTTATTTAGAGCAGTATCGCTAAATATGTATAAAGCTTTATATTCATATTTTATTTTTGGTTTTTAGACATATGAAGATAAAGTATTAATTTTATACATATAAGATACTAATTGTAATTAATTTGAATAAACCAACATTATGAGTAAAAATTAGCAGGGTATGACAGTTTTATTTCTGCTTTATATGTATAATATTTCGTGAAGCTTAGAGGTATTCATTTGTTTGAATATATTTTTACATAAAAAAGTTCACGAATAAAACAGTTCGCAAAAATATCTCTAATACTCAACAACTTACCTAACAATATTCCCTCTTCGATATTTTTTCTTCTGTTTTCAATTGATTTATCAGTCCAAAGACTTTATCTAAAGTAAGATAGATATGTTTATAAATAGGAATATAATGGTATTTTGAATTTATTTACACAGTGCATTTTCATGGTGAATGTTAGGAGAAATATTTTTTTTTCAATTGTGCTCGAAAATGTTTGTTTTTTATTTTTAAATTATTGAATCCCATTTTTTTTAAATATTTACCTTAATTGATTTCATGTTAGTGAAAAAATACAACATAATTAGAATATGAGAGTTTCGAAGTATGTTTGAAATCAGTTAAAGCTATAAAATTTTACCAATTGCAATGATTGTTTAATATCCTGTAATACAAATATAAACATTCGAAAATCCTTGCAACAAATATGAAAAATTCTTGGAGAGAAATATGAACTTCTAGTGGTGTTATTTTCAAAATAATATCTTAAAATATTGTCTTCATTCATCTTTGTTTATTATTTAAATTACTAAAATGGTTTAAATAAAACTCGAATCGCAATTTTAAAAATAAAACTATTTAAACCTATTTCTATCACCCCTACGAATCACGAATCTCTCCCGCTAACCCGCGCGGCGCCCCGCCTTCGCCGTAAGCGCTCAGTAGCGATAGCATCTTTGTTACATTTACTTATTATTAAATACAAAAATTATCTTAAACTATGATTAATATCACCGCAATAAAAAATCTAATGGCCACTTGCCGTTTTTTTATTGCTAAGCTGTAATATCATATCGATCCATATGTATCTATTTAATTGGTCTTATCATAAAAACGACCCTTTATCAACATAAAAAAATTATGATTTATATAATTCTCCTTTTTTTGCAAGCGGTATCGTTCTAATGACGTCACAGAGCCAGGTGCACAGTTAATTCGTAGGGGTTATAGGTACTGAAGTAATGTTGGAATATTTCAGAGTAGTAATGGAAGTTTTATGTTTTGGTTAGATGCGATATAAATCGTCGGTATCGGATTTTTATGGATGTCCCCGGATTAACCACATTTAAATTTTGAAGAAGTCTCGACTTAATAATAAGTGCGAAGATAATAAGGCTTTATAATGGTAATAAGTTTCAAGAAGTAATTATTTGTTCACAGGTAAATAACTGAAAATAATATTGCTATTAGATTAATTAGTATTTTATAATTCAATTACTCGTACTTCTGGAAAGCTAAGAATGGTTTAAAAAAATTTTGGCGTATGCTATAACAAAACCAGTTAGAGCGCATATTTTAAAATATTGGTCTTTGAAGTTCCTGACTTCTCAATTTAATAAAAAAATAAACAAACAAAAACATCAAAAGGTCGCAAAAACATTCCTGTTTGTTTTTTACAAAGATATTTTTTGGAAACTGTAACTATATCTTTAAAGTTATTGGCGGCGTTTCCAACAAAGAAACTCTGAGCAAAGCTATTATCATCAAAACATCCAAAACGTTTTTGAAAAACATCGTGACACATTCTACAAACAACTTAATTGTTGGGAATTCAAAAACAAGCAAAACGGTTTCGTTATTCCAAGAAGTCGTTTTCTTTAAAGTAATAAATATAGTTTCTGTTTACTTATTTTTGTCTGTAACTCTATAACTTCGTATTTTGCTGATATGAATCCTGTTAATGTTTGTTTGTTCAAATTTATCTATCATAAAGTTGTTTTGGAATAGAAGTTATCGCATATTTTATAACATTTAACTTATTCGCTATATTTTGTACTTATTTTATTTATAGAATTTAATTTAATTTATTGAAGTTTACAAACATGTTTTATAACACACTTAAGTGCCTGAATGATGTCAATTTAAAAATCGGTACAACTATAAATACCAATGGTTACATTTTAACATTCAAATTTATACAAATTAAATTCTTTAAACAAAATAACGCTCAAAGTGACGTTAATAGATTTTTTTAAGTACTCAAGAAGTGTTTTGCTTAATAGTAGATTTCAGCAGGACTTGGTCACCTGTGATAAATTAATCACGTCTGAGTCAACTGAGGTTTAATTGCTGCACGTCCCCTGACAATCGCATCATCAAAGTAGTCTAACATAGTTTGTACATATTTGCTGTGAAAACTCAATGGATCCATATTGTAAATTCAGTGACGCTTTACCATTACCTAATTTCACAATGAGTAAAATTATTGTTTTTTATACCTAATTATTTTTTTACTTTATACCTAATTCTTTCCTAAAAAATTAAAGTGTAAATTAATATATCCTATTCCATATATTACAGACTGTACAAAAATGATTTTTAATAATGTTACTTTGAATCCTACAAATAAATAAACATTATATTTTGTGTAACAATTATTTAAAGACCTTAGATATCTTTTTGTCAATCTTTACTGAGGAATTAGTAGTGGAATTCACAATTAATTTGCCAACATTAGTCTTCAGGGGACAGTTTATACAAAATGCACTTTAGTTCAAAATATTCGGTCGAAATAAATATGTAACAACAGAATCTGAGGTATTGGCACTAAACGATTTATTTTTAAATGTTTATGATAATAATTAAGGCACCAACAACAGAATAGGTAGATGAAACGGAATCGTCATATATGTACATACAATAGCTGTTGTTCTGAGGAAATTGATATCTTGTAACAGTAACGGTCGCTAACACGTACGTTTAAAAAAATTTTCCAATTAAAATAACCATTATTTGCACCAAATAAGTATACGTCGGAGGAGCAAACTATTATTGCATTTTATTTGATTGAAACTAATTACAGAATTAACAAAGTACTAAATTGCATTACTCTATTGCATGAAATCTATTTTAAGCTCAGAGTAGGTCCAATCAAAAGAACGCTCAAGATTTTAACCATCCCCTATACGAATTTAAACTTGAAGAATATTAGAATTTCATGAACAGAACAAAATTTTCAAAGGTCACGAAATACATGCTCACTTGAACAATTTATAAATGTATCATAAAATATTATCAAGTTAAATTATGTTAACAAATAATCGATATTTGTCCTGAAGTCGTGTTTTTGTGTACAAAACATAATATATGACGGTGATTTCGTTCCAAGAATATCTAACAATGAAATCGTTGCTGATGTTGACTTTGAAATACATTTTGCTAAAAGCTTTGTTTATTTCCGTAATCATACCATTTATATAAAATAGTTCTGCATATTATGCATGCTCGAAACTTTGTTTGTTTTCATAATAAATTGTTATGCTATTGTTGATATTCTCTTTTTGATTATGTACATATATTCGTCGTTTTTAGTTTTGATATTTAAAGAGCTCAAAGCATGTGTTTACTTTGTCATTATTAGATAATGTGAAAAACATATTAGATATTAATGCGAATTTTTTGTATAATTGTTTTTCTTCTTCTGTTAAGAGTAACTTTAAACAGTATCTTTGCTGTCGAGTATTAACTAATGAATATTAGCGTTTACGAAAACTCATTAATATAAATTGTCCTTTAAAAAATAATTACCTGTCAGTTTATTTTGCTTATTAATTTGTTATCTTTTCCTCATTAATGCCGTTTCAAACCGAAATTTTCATATTGATATTAACGATATTCGTGGTGGATTCAATAGCAATTAGGTTTACTTTTATAAATATATTTTGACATGGATAGTAATGCAATGGGTGAAACAAAAGACGAAGGTTCACTTTCGGTAAAATCTCGACCATTTCCTTTGAAGCCGGTCACGAGGTTAATGCTTAGTCGGCCTTTGTAAAGCGATCCGAGAACCGCTTACATGAGGATTATACTTTTCCATAGATCTTATAAGATTTCGAGTGATATATTTATAAATATATCTCGTCTTAAAATGCACAAACGTACACTATGTAATTATAATTTATTATAAGCTTAAATACGTACATATATGGTACAAAATTATAATTCTATGAAAGTACCCTGGCAAAAATGATAGATTGTTTTATCGGGGCTTTAAAAATATTAATTTACCATCTTGAAGTTTCATAAGAAACAGATTAATAAGACTGTCAGCGGAGATATGGAATTTTCCAAGGGGCGGTCGGGGTTAATGTGGAGCGGATGCTGTAAGATTGACCTCTGCGACGTAATGGGTCGGATCTTAAATAAGAACATTCGTTATTTTATCATTCTTAATATATTTCTTTCCTTAGAAATTTTTGTTACATTTTTATTGATAATACAAGATATAGTTCTTACTATTAAATAGAAATTTGTAATCCTAAATTAAAGTGATTCCTGTTTTTGTAGTTTTTTTCCTCATTATTATTTTCCTCATTAAATGCTAACATATTCTGTTGTCAT